CAACCAACTTCATTTTGCACCTGCTCCAAGTGTCACAAAGCCAAATTCTCTTTTGTTCTTTGAAACAATGTTTCTAGAACCATCTTTGAGCATCAGTATCATGCCATCACAGCTTCACTACCCTGGATGTGTGATCAGTTTAGAAAACATGCATTTTGGCTATACTTAAAGAGTCATGTCAACATGAGATTAAAACACAATTCAAACTGAACACATGGCATAAAAAAGCCCGTGTGTTTGAGTTTTTCTCCAGCTGTTACCATGACTCAACCAAGGAGCATGGACACAAATAATGGAGGAACAGCTGTGGATTTTGGCCCATATTATCATCATAGATACATGAAACTGTATGTGTTACCCAAGCATCATGTCAGTGGATTACAATGAACTTCTCACATAGTATTGTTGTGCATTAAGACTTATTGACAAGCTAAACCAGATACAAGCCAACAGGAACAGATTCTGGCTGTTAGGTGACTTTAACATGAGCAGCCTGAGCAGCACTGAAACAAGAGCTTCAAGAGATACTTATTAAAGTGATTTAATAATTTAGCATTTGATCAAATATAAAAAATTATAATTAAAATTCTAAGGTAGCTCTCCTGCTACGTCAGCATGTGAAATATGAAATATATAGCTGCGTGGATCCCTGTAGAAAGAGCCGCCGACTCCCCGGCCCGCCTGGGCTCGGATGACGATGGCTGTGTGCTTCAGGCTGGCTCTCCGCAGGCCACGCAGCACTGTCTACAGGCGCTAGTCTCTCTTAGGATGGGTCCAATCTATTCCGAATGTCCTGTTGACAACATGAACTGCATCTATGTAGGTCACTGCACTAACTCCAACTTCAGAGATGTGATCATGCTCACTGCAGGAAACCCTGACTCAATTCTGCGGCACGAGAGAGAAGAGCTCAGAGGTCGGATAATTCATTCTTTCTCAAACACACGAGGCGCACAGCGAGCCACAATGTGCCCAGCACGCCGAGCGTGATGATAAACCACAGTTACTGACCATCTTTCGGCTCCACTGCCCTGCTCACAAACATATCAGCTATCCTGGCACTGGAAGTAAAGGAACAAAACAAGAAGAGAAGGCTGAAACATTTATGGGGTGCAGGAAGAGGGAAGCCTTTCGGGTCTGCTGGATGATTCTGTTTCTTTGACTGGGTGTTCACAGGATGTAAACCAATCTATTTATGAGCACATTACCATGAAGCAGCTGCCCAGCTTTGACAATCCAATTGGTGTTCTGGGACGACAGCAGAGGAACCCGGAGCTTCTCCTTTGGGACGTGGACT